CGTGCCCGGCGGGGTCGGCCCGGGCGCCCCACCCAGGACCGCCGGGCCGCCCAGGCTTCGCCCCGACCTCGCAGTGCTCGGCCCCCTCGACCTCCAGCTGTCTTACCTGCAACATGGGAATGCAATAGAACCTAACTCACCCACTTGACAGTTAAAGGGGAGGGGGCCCACCTTTTCAGGCCAGTCCGACGCGGGACCTGTGTAACCTGCGTAACACTTGTGCGGCATGCTTCTGAGAATAAAATGAGATTATAAAAGAAATATGTAAAACAATATTTACAGATGCTAGAAGTGTCATCTCTAAAACGCCACTGAACTGATGTCTATCTATATCTAGACAGATAGATATAGATGTATCAGTTTACGCTGATACATACATCAATGTAAATTTGCTAGAAAATGGCTTAGCCAACTAGATGTATGCGGGGGAGGAGTGGCTTAAAACTTGCTGAGAATCACTAAAGGAAACTAACCTGCAAGAGGAACTTAAATAACCAAGTTCTCCTAGGGAAAGCTTGAAATTCTCATGATCTTTATATATTTATTTTATGCCTGCCCCCAGTGCTAAATGACCCTAAAATTCCTTTGAAAGGGTAGAAAGTGAGGGCTGTGGATTTCAGCATTAACGCTGACCTGCGGCATGAACGTCTAGAAACCTTTACGTCTCTGCCTCACTTCCCTGATCTGGCACGGGATAAGGAGCAGGGCTGTTGGCTGGATTAGCGTCAGCAGCGGAATGGTTTGCAGGTACGGAGAGGTCAAATAAGGACTGCTCTCCTTGGGACTTTTAGTGCTGGTTCCCCACCAACCCCCTTTCTGCTCTGGCTCACACCTCCTTTCAGCTGAACTTTGACCCATGAAGTAGAATGAACCCAGAGGCGGCACGGCTATCTAACGTCGTCCAACTCAGCGATCGAACTCTCCACCGCTCCACCTGTAGGAACAGGGCTTCGGCCGCATACCGAGGGGTAAATGAAAAGACAGTGATCTGCCACCAGACCAAGGTGTAGACACGGCTTTACTGCCGGCCACTTTTGGCATCAAGAACAAAGTACTCAGTTTCCCACATATAAAATGGGGATGACATCACCAACAGATCCTACCTTACACTGTGACTGTAAAGATTATGCAGCTGAAGTACATAGAATAGAGCCCGGTACCCAGACTCACTGAAGTTTATTCTTCTTATCTTCATTCTGGTGAAGAACAAACCTAGCCCTGTATTCAGTGTGAGTGCAGGCGCATGATGTACGGCACTATAGCATAGAAATTATAGCAGGAACCTCGGTTTTCAGTGACCAGATACATTTTTTTTAATTGACCAGGTACATTTTAAAGTTTTGTGAAACTCAGCATTTTTGAGACGTTTTTATTATTAAAAATTTCTATTCAAGAAGAGATTATAGTTGGAGAAATTTTTTTGGCACTTTGATCACTTTTTGAACTCGAGAAAATTGTGCTTTTAATAAGGCCTGTGAATAAAATTCTTTATTGGCTATATGAATTTAAAACATCTCTTTTAAAAGGCACTTACACTTAGGCCACCAAAAAAGACACAGTACGAAAGGATAATCTTTTCAATAAATGCTGCTGGGAAAAAATGGATTTCCATATGCAAAAGAAGGAAACTTTACCTTTATTTTATCCCACTTACAAAAATAAACTCAAAATTAATGAAAAACCTAAATGTAAGACTTGAAGCCATAAAACTCCTAGAAGAAAACATAAGGAACTTTTGCATATTTCACCAACAGCAAAAGTAACAGAAGAATAAATAATCAATGGGACCACATCAAACTGGGAAGCTTCTGCATAGCAAAACCAACACGAAAACAATGAACAAAATGAAATCAATAAATAACAAGGCAGCCTAAAGATTAGAAGAAAACACTTAGGAAACATATTTGATAAGGGATTAGTATTCAAAATATATAAGGAATTCATGCCATTCAACAGCCAAAAACCAAATCAACTGATCAACAAATGGGCAAAGGACCTGAATACCGTAAATATATTTCCAAAGAGAAAATATAAATGGCCAAGAAGCATATGAAAAGGTGCTCAGTGTCACTAATCTTCAGGGAAATGCAAACCGAAACACAAGAGAAATTTTCACACCTGTTAGAAGAGCTGTGACCAAAAAAGACAAAAGATACCAAGCGCCAGGTAGAGAAAAGGAGCCCCTGCACAGTACTGGTAGGATATAGATGGATGCAGTCACTGGGAAATCAGAATGGAGACTGATAACCACATTTCACGTGGCATACAGGGAGGCGGGGGTTTCTCCTGTGTCCCAGCACCGAAAGCCTGAGGCAGGCCATCAAAAGTTCAAGCCTAGTTTGAATAATTTAGTAATTTAGTGCGACCCTGTTTCAAAATAAAGTATTAAAAAAAGGCCTGGGAATGTAGGTCAGTGCAATGGCCCTGTATACTGCACAAACAAACAAACAAACAGAGCTACCAACCTTAAAGAGCTGAGTATGGAAAAAAAAATTCTTTTAAAGGAAAAATGAAAAAAAGAAAGGAAATTAGCATACTGATGAATAATCCTGCTTCTGAGTTTATACCAAATGTGATGAGACACACAGCAATCCTAACCCTTCTGTTCACTGCCACATCATTCACAATAGCCAAGATATGACAGAAATAAACCTAAGTGTCCACCAGTGGATAAATGGATTTTTGGAAAGCTGGTACACACACAATGAATGTCATTCAGCCTTTATTTTTTTGTACATTTCATTCAGCCTTAAAAAGGAGATTTTGCCACTTGCCATGATAAGGATGAACTGAAAGGACATCATGCTAATTTAAATAGGTCAGAGAAAGAAAGAAAAACAATGCACAGTCGCACTTATGTGGAGAATTGAAACAAAGAAGAATTGAAACAAATACAGAAGCTGAGAGTAGAAAAGTAGTTCGCGGTGTGGAGGAACGGAATAAAGCGGAGATGTAGGTCAAAGGGTTCAAAGTCTGAGTAAGGTAAGATGAATGAAAATGATAATTAACAACACCACCTTATATAGTGGACGTTTTACAGAGTAGATTTTAGATCCCTTCACCACACACACATACATGCCCGTGCACACACACACATACATGCACACACACACACAAAGTTAACTATGTGAGATGATAGATGTTGATTTGCTCGACTGCAGTAATTAATATTTTACTGTGTGTATGTGTAACCAAATATCATGTGCACCTTAAGCATAGGACTTTAGAAAGTATACTTCCACTTAAAAGAGGAGAAAAATACCCATTTAAGGTAAAATTTTTTGAAAACGTCAATCAGAAAACAAGAGCATCAGTTAAAAATGTCTGTAATTCCAATTCATGGGCGGGCTAAGCACAATTGTGTTTCTAAGGCTTTGACAGGCATGGGGGCAGCCCATACCCTTGGAAGACTACTTTTCCTGCATCCTCTCTTTATCCTAGAGCTATTGCATAGAGTCCATAAACATTAAAATGAATTGAAGTGAGGATCATTAGACCTTTTGCGTATTTCATTTTATCCCTTGGAATAATTGGATAATGGCTGCGCTTTAGAAAAACTGAGCTCATATTTATCATCATTTCTATTAGCACTATTAGCACTTTACAAGATATATTTGCTCTGATGACATTTTTATTCGCGTGTCACACATTGTCTTTTCGCATCTAGCATCACTTAAAAATGCAGCCTCTTGGACGTCCATGCTCTGTAACAGCACAGTGACAAGGGCGTTAGTTACCTAAGTGTTCACGTGGGTGGAGGTTTTCTTGGAAAAAAAAAATGCTTGCCATTCTTTTCAAGTGGCTCATTCTGTTTGCAGTAGAGACAGTAAACTGCTAGTGAGAAAATGAAATTCTGACAACTCTCCTCTCAGCTGGTGCCCTAATTGAAATTGACCCTAATGCATTTGATGAAGAGCAGTCAGAAAGTGCACAGAACACCAGTCTGCTGAAGAGAAGGAGCAGCCCATGCTGACCTTCAGAGAACTGACCAGATTCAGCAGAGTGATTTCAGCAGGTTCAGCGTCCATTCTCACTGGTCAGCATTGAGACTGTGGTTAAAAGGAACCCACCAGCTAAACAGTGAAGACCAAAGGTAGCAGGCTATGGATCTGGATAATTTTTCATGAAATCTGGTAGATAACAGACCTCAAACTTACACTTAAGCAAGTCACTGAAAACTGGATCAAAATTATGGCCAATATCACTAAAGATGTCCCAGTCTTCCTTTAGAACTTACTTTTCATAGAAATAAATTCATAGAAGAGAAATGAGGACAGGATTATGCCGAGTTCTCTATAGCAAAACTTCCTTTTGTGGAGATGTTGCTCTCTTGGCCCTCTGAGCAGTTCGGGCTGCATTACTTGCCTAGACTTCCGGTTTCGAGCAGTCTTGTGTGTCTGTACCACTGCGTAATAGCAGTACTACTGTTTTCTGCATATGCCAAACCATGGAAAGGGCAGGGGAAAAGAAAGGTCATAGCAGTATCACAGCAGAGCGCAGTATCAGTGTTAAAGAAATCTTGGTGTTACAGTGAACTGAGTTAGATGGAAATATAGGCAGTCAGACAGGGCCAGGCCCTCGAAGGAGCCAGTATGGAAGACAAGATACCTTGGAAATAGAGCCGTATTTGCTGCGGGCCAGACCTCAAGACAAAAGACTAAACAAATGCACCCACATACCTTCCTAGGGATGGCCATCAGGGATTGATAGTCTAAATAGGTAGCAATCATCTTGAAGAATGACTGACCCAACCTCTTACAGGAAAAGCCCCTGTTTTATATTCATGCCTGCATGCTACATGACTCGCTTCCCCATTTGATCCCAATTTAATCAATTTTACCTGAACAATTCTTATTGGCTGACTGTAGTTTTGTTCCCACCTCATGCCCACCTTGTGATTTCCCATTTCCCCCCCATTTGGACCTGCCTCACCTCAGGCCTTTTGCTCTATAAAACCCCTAGAAAAGACAGAGTCTTGGGCAACCCTGCCCTCTTCTGTCCCTCTCTTGGACAGAAGCTTTCTTTCCCTCAATAAATATGTTCTGCTTTTAACCTCCGTTGTTCCTAAAATTCATTCTTCAATTTTAGAGAACACGAACTCATCCCAGGTATTGTTCAGCTTGGGAGTTTCTGTTTTCTTGTATCATTAGCACAGGGACCATCAATGTCCTATCTTTTAGGTTAACAGTTTGGAAATGTTGTGATATTACATGCAATACTCTGAAAAT